CCGTGTACAGTCGGGCTCTGGTCATACCCAGGATCTGCTGTGTCCTGGAGTATGGCCAGAGCCTGACTGGTGAGAAGCCGCACCGCTGAAGCTTTTATTAGTACTCCTGGCCCCTGATTGAAGGACTGTGTGCATTTAAATTGATTACGGAATAGGAACCAATAAGGAGAGTGATCTCAATTTCTGCAATGCAGACAAACCCTTAGGAAATCATGGAGACCTTCCTCAGAGCTGCTGACTCATTTCTCTCTCCCACCTTAAAGTGTGCAGCAGGAGAAGCAGGGAAAGTGAAAGTAGACGAAAGAGGAAACAAATGCAATTTATCCTGGTTTCTGATGCCAATTTCCAAAGGAACGTATCCAGACTGTGACAAGCAAAGTTTGATTATATATTTGACTGCTTCGGCAAGCATCATTGCTCTCTACATGAAAGCTCCGTTTTTCCCTGGAGACAGCTGATTCTGTTTCTAGCATACCAATCAATATCTTTCTGTTGCTGACATTTTTTTGATATACAATGTCAGACTTCACAAATGTAATGTAAAATGCTTAAATTTTAGTTTTCTCATTTATTTGTACATAACATTTGTTTTTAAGTTGAAATATTAGGTTCAAGCACTACTGTCAAAATCCTGAATTTACATACTATATCCTAACAGTGTCAAATAGATTAAGAAATAATACAATTTAGAAAAAAATATGTGATGTTCCTTTTAGAAAGAAATATTCATTGTATGTTTATTATACATATATAAAATTCCTTATGCCTGCATATGAAGCTTATGTTATTACAATTATAGGATGTAATTAAAATATACAACACATGTTATGTGCATGCAAAGCTATATTATCAATATCACTTTAAAATACTGTGCATCAAGGTATTGTATTTTCAATTATACTATGCAATCTGACCAGTATGTCTCAGAGATAATAGTGATAGTGATTCTGAACTGTCATTTGCTGTTTGCTGCTGACATTTATGATATGACATAGAAGATTCCCTAAATACAATGATTAAATGCTTGATTCTCATATATTTGAATGCCTGAATTAAAATACTTTTGTTGTAAATGGAAATGTTATGTTCAAGCCTGCTAAGAACATACGAGCATTTTCCATACAAACTCTAACAATGTCATGATGAAAAGAAATAACCTGAGATGTTCATTTTAGAGACAAATATTCATAAAACATGTATATTCTAGACATTTACAAATTTTTAATTTATGCTTTTGTGTGTTGTTCAACAGATGTCTTCATGCATGACATTGATTTGGTTTGAACTTGGTTACTTATAACGGACGTGTGGGAAATTCCACCAAATTCCTGCCTATAATTGGTTTTCAGTTTCTGTACCTCCTGCAGGGATCACAGATACTCTTTGCATTATCGATATTCAATTTGATCTTATGAGGGATTTTTTAACATTAAAATCATTCTGCCTCATGAAATATGAGTAAGAAGCCACTAAATTTTAATAGGTTATCCAGTTTTTTTTCTAAAATCTCTGCACAGAGGAGACTACCAACCCCAGTGATCCAATCAACCTATATATTTCCTCATAGCTGGTTCTATCAGACCTAACATTCCAGTGTCTATATTTTCAACAGCTATGCCTATGATTTCGACAGCCAAAGTAGTCAAGTACCTGACACTAGACAGATCACATGCCTACGCAAAATCTCCCTTCTCTTATTCTAGTAGAGGAACTTAGAAATAAAAGGAGACCTACTGACACATTGCTTTATGCCTAGACATGTACAATACTTGATCCTCATCCCAGAGGTTTCTATTTGCACTAGATGAAAAATAACACAGAGATGCTCAGGTAGCATATGAACGGACAATAATAGGACATAAATAGGATGTTCATCATACCCCTCCCCTCAAGTCTATCTTTAAAAGGAGTCAGAAAGATTGTAACAAGGCCAGAAGCAGGGGGTGATTCCAAGAAACAATGTGCTTTTTTGCAATAATATCTGAGCCTCTCTTTACCTGAATTTCAGGATATGACTATTCACAGAGTGTTGCTAATGTGAAGTGCTTTGCATAATGCATGAACCAAATATGGTGTGTGGGATTAAACTGGACACAACATAATTTTCAGTGGACCCAACTCCAATAATCAAAAGGAAATAATAGGAATTGGTGGCAGGTAGGGATCTCATATATCAGGTTCTTGAGCCTAACTCCTGTCTATCTGCATGAAAGGCCCTGATTATTCCTGGAACTTTATGATTATGAATCTGGGTTGGCAAAAGCTGTTTGTTGATGACATATTCTGATATGGCTTGTCAGATTCCCCATGATCAGTGATAAAAGCTTCAGGTCTAGCTGTTCTCCAATATATGTATATGAGTGCCAGAAAGGGAGTGATTACATTGCATGTGGGAATTTTCATTCAAGTCCTCCTGTGCTGGGAATCACAAAATCTCTGCCATTTCATATTCCTATGGGCTCTGTCTCCTGTAGATGTCAGGAGTAGTCTGCCTTGTCTGGGTTAGTATACAGATGGATTCCATTTATACCCATGATCAAATGAGTCCTAGAATATACCCAGATCGTGACTGGGGAGAACCTGCACTGCTTATGATTTTAGTAGCCCTCTTTTCCTCCGATGGACTGTGTGCATTCAAATCAAGCATGGAATAGTAGACAATGAGGAGAGTGATCTCCATTCCAGAACTGGAGGCCAATCCTGTGGCTCTCTATCAGATCTTACATCAGAGCTGCTGATTCATTCTTCTCTCCCCTCAAATGTGTGTTGGAACAAAATCAGTAAAACTGAAAGTGGGTGATAGGTATAAATGTAATGTACCCTATGCTCTAACCCTAGCTATAAATATTTAAAAAATACTCACCGATGGCAGGGAATAAGGGAGAGCTTGTATATCTAGTGGCTTGTGCATACAGGCTGGCTATACTCATATAGTCTTCCATTGCTGACTGGAGTGTGATGTTTGTGATTCCGGGCTTCTGATGGCTGCGTGAGGCTTATCTTTTCTGTTTAAATGTTTGTATTAATTTTTAGTCTATATATGTAAATAGGTGACTGAAATTGTACACGGGAATGTTACTTTTAAAGCCTGCTTTGAGTAGACATTGTCACACACAAAGAGTCTTATCACAAGTAAAATCTCAGTGATAGGAATAGAAAAATTCTTTCTGAGTTATAGGTCAAAACAACAGTATAGTCTTCCACACAAACAGCACCAGTGATTTACAAGGATTTTCTTTGATTCCACTACAAGGGCATGGTAAGGTCTTGTTACTGAGGATGCTCTTATGCATATCATCAAAAATGGATAATTGCTCTTGTGACCAATGTAGTGTTTCTATTACTGTTAATTGTCCTTGATGCTAGGAGATTCATTATATGTATCTGGACAAAATTAGCCCTTGAATATTACCTTTGATAAACACTGCAACAAACGACAGGGACCTACATTCAAGGTAATCTTTTGTAATATTGAGTCAATGTGGAAATAACCAAGTATTTTTTATTTCTTTTATGAGGCATTCCATGAGATGGAACCAATACATGTTACTACCTAAATTGGCTAGTCACCTGAGTTTATGTAGATTATGGTTATATTAAAAAATCGACATCTAGTATCATAATATGAGTAGAATGAAATAATATTTCTCCTAGTAAAATGCTGTTAAACTCATGAATTAGGTAATTACACAAACCTCATCAGGGATGCTCCTTCATGGGAGATACTCAAATGGACTAAGGGTAGAGTGTGAGCAACTTTATAGCACTAGGTCATACATGGGGTATCTTACCAAACTTCTCCTTTAAAGTCTCCTGTACCTGTGTGGAAGAGGATGCAAATAGATTTTAAAATCCAGAAATGCTAGAAGGTGATGGAAAAAATTTTTTCATTTACAACAGGACTGACACACACAGAACATCATAGAGAATACAGCAAAAGACAACAAAACTGTACACAGGGGAGAAAAACATGCAAAATTCCAGCACTGGAATGGAAAGTAGACATAAATTAAAAGTCTAATGACGAGAAATTAACAATTGATATCTGTTAGGAAAAATAGAATGATTTCAAAGTTATTTCACTGGTAATATATTAACCACTCACCAATGTAGACCTCAGGTATATCTTGCAACTATACCATTATGATCCAATGGAACTCAATGTACTTTTCTACAAGTATGTTATTGACTATGTTAACTACAAACATATTCACAATAAAGAAGAAATGAAAACATCACTACATCGTCTTAACTTTTACTACATTTAGTGGGTCAATACTCAATACTTCTTTTTTTGAAATGAGAGTAATTGTCAGCAAATTTTCTCTAAGTTAGTCATAAATGTGCAATTTTTAAATATTGGAATGGACATTTAATACAATAAAAATTTGATTGTTTGCAAACACCCTCCTGCTATAAATCTAATACCTTAAATCACTTGACTGGCAAATGTATTTGTGAAAAAAAGCAAGTTCCAATAGTGAGTCTGAATTTAGCCCTAAATGGTCATACCATCCTTAATGGTATATATTTTGGCAATGGTGATTATACACCAAAAGGCAAAGTTTCAGGGCAGGATTATTTTATTAATTCTTTTTTTAGAGTCACACTCACAAAGTTAGCATTCCTATCAGTAACAGGAATATTTGATCCCATTCCGGAATATAAGGAACTATGAAATTGCTAATTATAAATTCAGAAGCCCGTAAGGTCTATGTACACAATAATTACTACAAATTACAAGGATTATAGCCTGAAGGGAAATATCAACCTTTTAAATGATGTCATATCTTAAAAAAGAAGCCATAACTTCATAAACAGGATGCTATTTCCTGCACAGGAGACAGTATCAGGTAACTGGGAGCTTTAATGCTGGGAATCAAACAATCCCTGCCTGTGGTTATTTCCACGGACTCTGTCTCCCATATATGTCAGGAGCAGTCTGCCTTGTCTGGGTAGATGCACAGTCGGGCTCGGGTTATACCCAGGATCTACTGAGCCCTGGAGTATAGCCCGAGCCCGACTGGTAAGAAGCCTCACTGTGGCCACTTTTATTAGCGCTCCTTGCCTCTGATTGAAGGGCTGTGTACATGTAAATTGAGGTTGGAGCCAATAGGGAAAGTGCTCTCAATTCCAGCACTGGGGGCAAATCCTGATGTTGTCTTGGAGATAGCCATGAAGAACTGCTGATTCATTTCTCCCTCTCACCTAACCGTGTGCTGCCAGAGAAGCAGCGGAATTGAAAGCACGACATGAAATTTGCACTGGACGAAACTCCAATAACCAAAAGAAAAAATAGGAACTGGTGGCAGGTAAGGGGTGCTCTTATATCAGGTTGCTTGGATGTATGCCCTGGCTATCTACATGAAAGCCCACGATTCTGCCTGGATCTGCATGATTGTGAATCTCGGCTGCCAAGAGCTGCTTTTAGCAGACATTTTTCTGATATGACTTTCAGATTCCCGAGAGCAATGTTCAATGATTCAATTGCAGCTTTTCTCCAATACATGTACATGAGTGCCTGAAAGGAGATGCTTACCTTGTAAGTGGAAATTTTCATCGCAAGCCCTGCTATGTTTGAAATAAAAATAATCCCTGCATTTGCTGATTCCCACAGGCTCTGACGCCTGTACATGTCAGGAGCAGTCTGCTTTTTCTGGGTTAGTTTACAGTCCGCCTCTGACTATATCCAGGATCTACTGAGTCCTGGAATATAGCCAGAGACTGACTGGCAAGTACCTGCTCTGGTGTTGCTTTTATTACCACTCCTCGCCCCTGATTGAAGGACTGTGTGCATTCAAATTGAGCAGCGAATGAGGAGAGTGATCTCATTTCAAGCGACAGAGGCAAATCCTGTGGTTGCCTTGGAGATAGCCCTCAGAGCTGCTGACTCATTTCTCTCTCCCACCTGAATGCATGTTGCAGCAGATGGATCTAAACTGTAGATGGAGGACAGTAAAAAATATATATATATATGCTTCCTTGGCTCTGACTCTAGTTGTCAAAGGAATTAACCAACCTGTACAAAGTAGGTTGTTATTATCTGTCCGGCTGCTTGTACCTATATCCTGACTAGCTACATAAAAGCCTGTTTTTCCCTGGACCGAGTAATAATGATTCAGAGCTTCCAATTGCTCTTTGCTGCTAAACAGTTCCTGCTATATCATTTCAGCTTCCCAAGTATCATGTTAAGCTTGAAATTAAGCCTTTCTCCATTATACTCATACACACACACACACACACACACACAGAGAGAGAGACTCATATATATATGCCTGAAATAGATACTGTAATAATATATGAAATTATTACTTTCAAGACCCCTCTTAAAACACCAAATTTGCTGTATCCATCAGTGTCATGAAGATTAAGCAATAAATTGCACTAGTCCTTTTAGAAAGGAATATTCATAATAAATGTATATTTTCATTCATTTTAATTGTTTGTATGTCTTTATTTGTAGTTCATCTCAAACATGTCTGCATATCTTTGATGTTAGTATTTCCACAATGTCAAATTATTTTGTCATATATAAATATTTGAATATTATAATTTTCAACAAATTCACTACCTTCCATTCACTAGAATTCCTCTCTGACCAATACTCCTTCCCCAAGTTTACCCAGGAGATCTCACTTTTCTCCTTTTGAGGGTGATCCATGCATTCCTCTTAGGTTTTGCATTGTTATCCAGTTTCTCTGGGACTTTGGATTGCTTGAAAACTTTGTTTTATAACTAGTGTCCACTTATAAGTGAGTGTATATTGTGTTTGTCTTTCTGGAAGCAGGTTACCTCACTAAGGATGAATTTTTAAGTTCCATCCTTTTGAATGAAGTTTCATAGAATATTGCAATTTTGAAAATATTCAGTATGTTCACATCATGGAGCTAGCGTACAGGAGTAAATCTGCCTTGCCTCTTTCATCGTCTGATTAAATAATATAAGCCACTATGATAACCTAAAGGCTTTCCAGATTCAACGAGGAAGTAATTAGATGTTCCATTGTGGTGATATATTATTTATGATTTATTAAAGTTTCCATGAGGATTCAGAAGGTAAAATAAACCTCAAGTTATAGAGATCAGTCATTAGTGCTGCACACCTTTAGTTGCAAGCCTCAGGAGATATATTCCATGATTTATAATGAAAGAATTAGGAACGCAAACACAAATGATAGGAATTCAAGGGGTAGAATAGCAATGTGTAATTGACATTCTGTTTGTCACAGGTATGGAATTTGCCAAAAAGGGTAGTCAAGACAACTCAGAAATCTTACTGTCATTATGTATGTCTCATTCCTGGTATTGGAACCTAATGTATGTATGTCTGATTTCTAATAAGTGTCTTATAAATAATAGGTGCCACTTCTTCATATATACAATTAATCAGGTTGATGATATCACCCTCTAAGAGGCTGTGTATACATAAAAAATTAAAATCAAGGATTAACATGGGGAAGTCGCTCAGAGACCCCACAGTTTTCCCTTTTATATAACATATATATAGGTATATATGTATTCTATTATTTTTATCTCTGATGCTGTCCTCTGTACTCTCGAAGTTTCAGCACTTTGTGTGCCTCCTGGATTAAAACCTTAGCATCAATCAAATCAGGACAACTATACTTTTGTTATCCTGACATATATGGAATGAGAGCAACAATGAGTACAGTCCCATTTAAAATCTATGCTTCTTAAAATTATATGTTCTCCTTTCCTTGTTTTAGAAAGTGATGTCACATTAACAATTTCTTACACTGTGAAGGCCTTAGATGATGTCACCATAAGCCATTAATAAACATGTTATTTCTACTCATATCACTCCTGGTGTCTTAATGACAAATTGACAGCTAATAGAACAAAAAAAAACTCTTGGTGAACTTGACTTAGTTACCATTATTTCCAAATCTTATAGATTACCAACACTTGTCCTTTGTAGCCTTTTGGTAACTTGATAACGAAAGACATGTCTCTAGTTCACTTAATTTCGCTTGACTACAACACACATATACCATACATGTTACACGATTTCACAACTGCTCAATTTTGTAAGGACTTACAATATTGTATTCAAACACACCTGATGAATACAAAAAAAACCTCCATTATAACTAAACCCAGAATATGTTACATGCAATGGGCATACTCAATTTATGTTTCTAAGGAAAAAACATATGTTGAGATCAAAGTGTCATGAAAGACAAACAGGGAATTTTAAAGCACAGAATTTTGAAATTTTGAATACATAATGGCAAAAATATTAACCAAAATCAAAAAATATGTTTATATCAATCAGATTCATAAACTCTCATGTCAAGACAAATAGAAACTCTCGACTTTTCACACTTAGTCGACAAATGAACAGGGCTGAGACAGAAAGAACACATTTCTACTGCAAAATAACATTGATTACAAATGTTCATGCTAAAAACCATTGCTCATTATCACCACTTTTAAGAACATGGTTTGGGTTATTTAGGTATGAAATTTTCCATGTGGGATAAAATAATTTTACTAGGAATATATTATAATATATGCTATATGAATATAGTATTCATATAGACATGAAATAAAGCAGTTATGATATTGTAGGAGGAAGCAGAAAGATGTGTGAAATTAGATAAATACACTGCTCAAGTATGAAATTTTCAAATAGGTCAAAGATGCAGAAACCTGCATGAACATAAACACATACATTCATACATATATAAACACGGATGGAAACATGTATATACAGATGCACACATATGCATATACATATATTTACACAAGTGAAAGCAATAGACATGCACTGAGAAAATAAAAGAAGATATATTTTAATAACTGCATATCTTGTATCATGAAGGGGATATCTCTTACTGGAGCCACTTGGTGGCTAAGGGCGTTCTTAAAGTCCCCCACCGGAGACTTAAATAGGATTCCAAATCATGGTTATATTTGCTAACACAATGTTAAGAAAAAAATTCTGACATTTCACCGTACTTATGTTATCATAGAACGCTGGTTAGAATAATCAATGAATCTGACTATTTGCCCTAAGCCAAAAAGAGGAATCAGTCTTCAGACATATTGTTTCCATATTGTTGAAGTTTATGACTAACTCCATGGGATTGAAGAAATATCCAACACTGCTAAAATGGCCAACAAACATAGATTAGAATGGTCACAGACCTATGCAAAAACTAGTTCTCTCATTCTGCCAGAGTAACAGAGAGATAAGCAACAATTGGTCAAGCCAGAGTCATTTATTAATGCATTAGATGGAAAATACATTAACTACATGCAGGTGGGATCATTCTATACTACCTGACAGGCCAAGCAGTTTGATGTTTTGATGTCACTTTTTACCTTCAGGCATTCTGCTAAATCCTTATCGCTCTCTATGTTGAGAGGCAGGAAGAAAGACACTAACATGTTCACTGGTGGAGGTTGATTCCACAGCAATGTTTTCCTAAATCTCCTTTACAATCAGACATGAGAATTCAGAGACTCAGGTAGCAGACTCAAGATCTGCACAGAAACAAAATGTACAAAAACATGAGTACTAAGAACAAAGATATCTGGTCTGTTAATTACTTTCAAGGAAAGCATGCTATAGCAGTCCCTCAACATCAGTAATTAAATTGATCTTCAAAAAGTTCAGACCAGGCCTGATGCCATAGAAATCAGCATCCTGACAGGAAAGACAGAACAAAGTACTAAGTTTTTATATGCTAAAATTAAAAGGAAATGCAAACCAAGTTTGGAAATTTGAACCTAGATGGTAACAAGAGGATAACAAGTAAATTTACTGTACTATATTTCATGGTCTACACATGCCTTCTGTGACAGGTACTACAAGACTCACCAACTCTTTTTTTGTTTGTTTGTTTTTTTCGAGACAGGGTTTCTCTGTAGCTTTGGAGGCTGTCCTGGAACTCACTTTGTAGACCAGGGTGGCCTCGAACTCACAGAGATCCGCCTGCCTCTGCCTCCCGAGTCCTGGGATTAAAGGCGTGGGCCACCAACGCCCGGCTGACTCACCAACTCTTAGTGGTTGATATTTTCACAGACTCTAAGTATTATTAGTTAAAACTGACAATGACATAACTTTCTCCTCAGTGCATCTCTAAGGGGACAGAGAGAAAATGGACCCCCTAGTGCCTTTAGATAATGAACTCTAAGTGAGATTATCATCCTTAGCCATGGTGCAGAACTTCAAGACAGACACAGGGACATGACATTCAACATATAAGCAGTATCTGAGAATCATGATGCTACTATCTATATAGCAGACAGTAACAGGTGATTGTGAGCTTTAATCCTTAATATCCAAAAACCCTGCCTTTGCTGTTCCCTTCACGCTCTTTCTCCTGCAGATGTAAGGAGCATTCTGTCTTGTCTGAATCCGTGAACAGTCGGGTTCAGGTTACACCCAGGATATACTGAGCCCTTGAGTATAGCCAGTGTCTGTCTGGTAATGAGACATACTGCAGATACTTACATTAGCACACCTCGCCTTTGACAGAACGACTGTGTGTATTCAAATTATCATGGAATAGTATCCAATAAGGAGAGTGATCTCAAAACCACAAATGGAGGAAAATCCTGCGAGTCCCTTGGAGATCTCCATCAGGGATGCTTATTCATTCTTCTCACCTACCTGAAAGTGTGTGGATTAGATATCTTTCTCACTATGTTCATGGAAGCATTGTATGTGATACCCAGAAGCTGGAGGCAACATAGATGCCCCTTAACTGAAGAGGGGATAGTGAAATCGTGGTACTGTACAGTTACACAATGGAGTACCACTCAGCAGAAAAAAAATAAATGGAATCTTGAAATTTGCAAGAAAATGGATGGCACTGGAAGAAGCAATCCTGAGTGAGGTTACCCAGTCACAAAAGGACAAACATTGTACATACTCACTCATATATTTATTTTAGACATGGATCATGGGAGTGGCAGCTTAAATCCCACTGCCAGATAGACTGGAAAGCATGGATGACCCTAAGAAAGATATGAATTTTACCCTAGAGAAGGAGAATGAGACAGGGTCTTCTGAGAAGAATGTGACCGTAAAAGGAGAGGGGAGAGGGAGCTGGGGAAAGAGAGGGGGAGAAGAAAAGGGGAGAAAAGTTCATAGGAGGAGAAAGTATGTAGAGTCAGGGGAAGAAAAGAGTAGAACAGGATGAGAGATACCAAAATAGAGGGAGTTATTATAGGTTTGAGGAGAGATATGGCACTAGTGAGATTTCCAGAAATCTACAAGGATGATGCCAACTGGCAAACTAAACAACAGTGGAGAGGCTTCCTTAAAAGCCCTACCCCAATAGTGAGATTGGTGACTACCTTATATAACATCCTAGAGCCTTCATCCTGTGACTGATGGAAGCAGAGACAGACACCCACAGCTAAACAATGAACTGAACTCCTGGAACCCAGTAACAGAGAGGGAATTGTGATGAGCCAAGGGGTCAAGACCATGCTGGTTAAACCCGTAGAAACGGTTGTCCTGAACCAGCGGAAGCTCATGGACCCCAGACTGATAGCTTAGAGGTCAGCATGGGACTTATCCAGACCCCGTAAATTTGGGTGTCAATGAGGAGGCCTTGGTAGTCTTTGAGGCCTCAGGTAGTAGATCAGTATTTAACCCTGGTGTACAAATATATTTTGGGATCCCAATCCATATGGAGTGATGCTGTCTCATCCTGGACATGTTAGGAAATGCCTAGGCCCTGACACAGATGCAATGGCAGACACTGGAGATGCCCCATGGAGGGCCTCACACTCCCTGGAGATCTAAGGGGGATTTGGTGAGGGTTTGGGTGTGTTAGAGGGGGCAGTGGAGGAGGGGAGGGTGAGGGAACTGGGAGTGACATGTGAATCAAGCTTATTTCAAATTTAAACAAAAAGTCTACAAAAAAGCAGAAAAGGAATATAGATGAGAGGAAAACAATAAGTAATATTCCCTCGTCTCTGAAGACAATTGACAAAAGAATACCTGTGACAGGTAGATATATATCTGGCTGCTTAGAAATATATCCTGGCTATCTATATGAAAGTATCTGTTTCTTAATGTATCAGGCTTATTGTAACTCTGGGTTGCTGACATCTACTTCCTGCTGACATTTCCCGATATGCCATGTTAGAAATCCTAGTGCAGTATTAAATGTCTAAATTTTATCTTTTTCCTGTATATGTATATGGGTGCTTAAATTCACATATTTATATTGTAAGGGGAAATGTTACTTTCAAGTCCTTCTTAGAACACCCCAGTTTGCATACCACACATGTGACTTTTCCTAGCTAATACAGTTACTTCATCTGTGTTCATGTGAAGCAACTGTGTGTACATGGATATGTGGTCTACTAATAGCACATGGTCAGCATCTTGGTACCAGCACACCTAGGGACAACTGTCATTAGTTGATTAAATACTATATGTCAGCCTTATAATGTTTAGGCTTTATGATTCTTCCACAGGATAATTAGGATGTTCCCTTAGTTTTATGGTGAAATAATTATGCATTCTCACTTAGTTGATGTGAATTAAAGAGAACAAGCATGCTGAAATAGCCATCACATACTAGTTGCATGGAGAGTTACTTTAGCAATGTCAGATCAACTTATGGTTTTCACAGGGTTGGAAATTGCCAATCTTTGTATGCAAGGTGGCTAGAAAATTCAGAGTACATACTGCCACTATCAATGCCTGAGAGCCTGGGATTTGATAGCAATAATAGTACAATTAATTCTTAATATACGTATTCTAATAGAAGGTGCAAGTTGCCAATTTTTCCAAGAAATCAAATTCCTGATAGAACCACCTAAATGGGTGTATATACTATATAACAACAACAACAAACAAAAAAAAACAAGACATAACATGAGGGATCTAATGGTATATTATTTATGATTTATTAAAGCAACATAGATGTCCCTCAAATGAAGAGTAGATAGAGAAAATGTGGTACACTTACACAATGGAGTATTATTCAGCAGAAAAAAAAACAATGGAATCTTCAAATTCGCAGGTAAATGGATGGCACTAGAAGAAACCATCCTGAGTGAGGTAACCCAGTCACAAAAAGACAAACATGGTATGTACTCACTCATATATGGATTTTAGACACGGATCAGGATAGATCTAGTTTGCACTTCCACTGACAGAGAGTCTGGGAAACAGGAAATAACCTAAGAGATATGCATGGTACACCAGAGAAGAGGAATGAGGCGAGATCTTCTGAACAGATGGGGAACACGGCGAGGGTTGCTGGGGACTGGGAGCTGGGAAGAAGACAGGGGAGAAGAGGAAGAGATTGTAGGGTATGGGGGAACAGGAAGGATGAGTGAGGTAGAATAGGGGGAAGAGGTAATGATAGGTTAGAAGACAGATCAGGCACCAGTGTCTCCTCTAGTGATCTAAAGGGATGACACCAATTGGCAAGCTAAGCAATAGTAGAGAGACCACCTCGAATGCCCATTCCTGGTAATGAACTTGATGTCTATAACCATCCTGGATCCTACATCCAGTGACTGATGGAAGCAGAGGCAAACAGCCACAGTTAAACACTGAACTGAACCCAAAGAACCCAGTGACAGAGAGGAGCAATGAGCAAATTGGCAAAGAATGGGCTGGCAAAACCATCAGAGACAGCTGATTTAAACAGGGTAGAGCTCTTGGACCAAAGACTGACAGCTGGGAGGCCAGCATGGGACTGATCCAGACCCTCTAAATGTGAGAGTCAGTGAGGAGGCCTGGGCAACCTATGGGGCCCTGGGCAGTGGATCAGTGTTTATCCCTGGAATACAAACATACATCATGTGTCCATAACACAAAGAGGGATGCTCTCTCAGCCTGGACTCTTAGGGGAGTGCCTGGACCCTACCCTGAGTGAAATGGCAGACTCTAGATACCCCTATGTGAAATGAAATGGTGATAGGGTGGGAGGCTGGGGACGATGGTGGGGGGTTGTAGGAGGAGGGGAGGGAGAGGGAACTGGGATTGACATGTAAAACAAGCTATTTAAAATTAAAATAATATAAAAAGCTTGACTGAGGATTCAGAAAATCTAAGTCATCTATAAGTGTTAAAGGGCAGGAACACACCTTTAATTCCAACAGCCAGAAGCTAGGAGGTGATGGTACACACCTTTAATTCTAGGACTTAGTATTAATACCTAGAGAGATCTCCATGTGTCCAAGGCCTCCCTGATGTACGTTAGTGTAAGTTAATCTGAAAGAATTATAGTTCACACCTTTAATCTCAACATTAGGGAATTATACAAGACAGAAGCAAGGTCTCATGGAGGCATTCAGTCTCCAGTCATGCTGAGGAGAGATTACAGTATGAGGCTTGGTGAGAGCTCTTGGGGACAGGAACCGTCTATTCAGCCTGAGGTTGAGGTAAAAAGTTAGTGGCCGGCTACTTTGCTTTTCTGTTATTCAGCTTGAAGTTTGAACCCCTACATAAGTATGTAAGTCTCTTATTTACCCTTGTTACAGAGATATGTTAACCACAGGCCCCACAGATGTCCCTTTTATGTAACCATCTATTCTACTGTTTCCTATTTCTGTTTCTTTTCTTTTGCAGTTCCCCATTTTCAGTATTTGCTGTTGGCCTCTGAGGATCAATCAAGTATATCTTCTGTACTTTTGTAATTCTCAATATACAGAATAAGAGCAATGCTGAGGACTCTCCCCAGATAATATCTCTGAATCCAGAAAATTTATGGTCTCTTTTTCTTCTTTTTGAAAATATTGTCCTTTAACAATTTCATACACAATGCATGTTACAGACAGTCCTCTAAGGCATTAACATTGTTATTACTTATACTCATGGCATTCCTGTTTTAATAAAGTCAAAACTTCAGAAAACAGAACTCCTGACACAACTCAATAAAGGTGATTAATTTACAAACTTCTCCAACTGTAATGATTTAACAATATATAGTCATCCTTAGTGAATTAGTGGCATGGTTTGCAAAGACAATAATGTATCTAATTTCTTGACAAAAGCAAGGATATATCACACGCAGGAAAACAAATTATGGTAACCCCTATTGCTACAAAGGTCATGGACCCAGAAGCAGAATGTTCATCTGCAAATTTCATGACGCCACATAATTTCTAGCTTCATTATCAATATTTATCCTTCTACCCACAGGCAACAGTAGTTATAACTTTCAGAAAAAAGCATCATTTTACACTATGTCACAACTGCTCAAATGGCTAAGAACATACAATGTTGTGTCCAACCATACCTAATGAATACACCCAACACTCCACTATACCTACATCCAGGAAATAATGCATGCAAAAAGCAAGCAAGTTTATGATACTTAGGAAAAAGATGCCTATTGTAACCAAGAGCCTTGCAAGAAAAATCGGGGATTTCAAAGTACAGAATTTTGAAAACTTGAGTAACAAAAAAGCAAATGAAACTAAAACAAACAAACAAAAAAGCTAAGCACAATCACAGCATAAACTGTCATGCCAGCAAAGATGGAAAACTGTCTCACCTTCTCACATTTAGCAGAGAAGATACACCCAAAAGATTAGTTAAAGATAAGAAAGGCCCATTTTTGCTGTATAATAACATTGATAGGACTTTCCATTTCAAATGGCAATGCTAAAATAGTTTGCTCATAATCACCACTTTAAGAACACAGTATGTGTTAGTTAGGTATGCATTGTACATACAGGATAAAATAGTCTTAATGACAAATGGCACTCATTTTGACATTTAGTAGAGAATACATCATATTGAGGGAAGAAGCATAATGAAGTATAAAATTGTATACTAGGTCAAAGGTGCATGCAAATGCATACCCATATACACACAATCACTATCAAACAACGTATAGATTGTTAGATACATACATAGATAGATCAATTGATACATAGATAGATAGATAGATAGATACATAGATAGATAGATGTGTATGGAGATGTAATGTAACAACTCCATGTCTTATACCATGATGGGGTATAAGAGGTATCAAGTTGCCAAGGTTTTCAGTTGGCTTGTATTCTAAGGGCATTATTATTGTCCCCCACTAGAAAACCTCACAGACCAATTCCAATGGTTATACCTCCTGACACCATGGTAAGAATCAATTACAGACTTAGTTCCTACATAAATTATCACAGAACAGATATCTGTCTGGTACCTAGTTAGAAGTTTCCCTGAAACTGCCTACATGTGATAGGCCAGTATGCTAATGCACCAGTTGAGGATGAACAACATTCCTCATTTATTTTAGCTACATGGTCTACAGCAGATAATAGTGAGAAAACTCTACTTACTCTTGACAGTGGCTTAAATACCAAGGGAGTAACCTCAAAAGTAATATTTTTGAGAATTATGATTATTCCATCCAATTGAAGAAACATCCCACATCGCTAAAATGTCCATGAATATGAAACTAGAATAATCACAGACCTATGCAAAATTAACTTCTTTCATTCTGCTAGGGGAGTAGAGAGTTCAACTGGGTTGTAAAGACATAATGATATACCGTTATATCTGTGAATTAATTGCCTTCATCAGAATTGAAATTTCTTATACAGATGGGAAATGAAATGAGGATTTGAAGATAGGTTCTTTCTAATGACCCTGACAAGCTTTGGGGTACTATGAGGTTATGTTACTTTTCTGCAATTCCCGCCACAGAGGCCTCAATGATTTATTTCAAGAAAGAGGTAGAAAGATGTTAACAGATTCAGAAATGGTGGAAGATTTAATAGCAATGTCTTCCAGCCTCCTTTTTCCTATCAGACCTAGGAATTCAGAGTCTGAGGTAGCACACACAGATCTGCCCAGAGTCAAAACATATAAAACACCACAACCAAGAATGAAGACTTGTGATTTTTCTTACTTAATTTTAAGGGATGTATGTAATAAAACACTGTCACCATTACTAAATCATTGATTTCCATCAAATCTGATACCTCAGCTGATCCAATGGAGATGAATGGTCCTACTAGAAAGAAAGAACAATGTACTGGAGTTTGTATATGTCAAAATAAAAAGGAAATGCATTCAAATATTGACACGTACAAACTGTGGTCATAAATGGCAATAAGATAATAATAAATAAATTTCCTGTACTATATTTCACTGTCCACCCATGCATGGAGTAACAGGTACAGTGGCATCTGCAAATATTACTGCTTGATATTTTCACAGAATCTAAGTGTTGCTTGTAAAAACTGGCAACTCTGTAGCAATTCTGACAGTGTTTCTCCCAGGGAACAGAAAGGAGCCTGATTCCCCTATTGTCTGTCAGATAGTAAATTCTTCTTCTTATCAGAGGATGAAACAATTCAAGACTGAGGCAGGGGTATCATCACATCTTAAAAGAGAAGCAGTATCTCAGAAGCAAGATGCTACTTCCTATACAGCAGACAGGAGCAGGTGACTGGGACAAATAATTCTAGGAATAAAACAATCCCTGCTTTTGTTAATTCCCATGGCCTCTGTCTCCTGTAGATATCACGAGCGGTCTGCCTTGTTTGGGCCAGTGTACAGTCTGACTTGGGTTACACCCAGGATCTACTGATTCTCCGAGGATAGACAAAGCCTTACTGGTAAGAAGCTGTTCTGCTGATGGTTTTATTAACACTCCTTTCCTCTGATGGACTATATGCATTAAAATGGAGCATGGAATAGGAACCAATAAGAAGAGGGATCTCAATTCCAGAACTGGAGGCAAAACCCATGTTAATCTTGGAGATCTGCATCAGAGCTGCTGATTCATGCTTCTTTCCCATCAAATGTGTGTTGAAGCAAAATAAATAAAACTGAAAGTGGATGGTAGGAATAAATATCAGATACCCTGGGCTCTGACCCCAGTTATCAATAGAAAAAAATAACCAGTGGCAGGCAAGTGGGCAAAGGCTTATATATCTAGCAGCTACTGCATACAGCCAAGGTATCTACATTTAGAATTCCATTTCTGCCTGGAGGATGATTATTGTAAATAAATCCAGGCTTCTGATGGCTGCTTGATGCATAACTTTTCTAATATATTAAGTCAGAATCCAAAGTGCAATCTTTAAAGAGATGAACTTTTGTTTTTGCCTATGTATGTATGTGTCTGAAATTGTATATGGAAATGTTATTTTTAAGCCCTGCTCTGAATACATCCAATTTGTATGCCATATCTAACATAGTCAAACTGATTAAGCACTGATCTGAGATATTGCATTTAGGAAAAATATTCATAAGATATGTATACTCTGAAATTTTTCACAATTTTTATATAATTTTATGTGTGATTTGTTCCTCACACATACGAATACATTTGACATTCATTTTTGATTCTCAGTGCCAATCATGCTTTTGAAGTATTCTGTTCAGTATTAATATGTGAATATTGAAATTTTGATAATATTCACTACAGTCCTTGACTAGAATTCATTTTTGCCATTTTTAAAACAATCTTTTCACATTTTATGAACCAATTTATGTTCCCACTCTGTCCTCTCTTCCACATTTTCCCCCACCACACCCTATCCACTCCTCAGAGAGGGTAAGGTTTCCAACAGTGAGTCATGGAAGTCTGGAACTTCTTTTTTAGGAAGCACCAAGTACCTCCCTGCTGTGTCTATGCTATCTATGCTAAGCATGATATCCTGCCAAAGAGAATGGGCTTCTAATATTCAGTTCAATCACTGGCCCCAATGCCAGTGCCCTCACTTACTGCCCAAGCTACACAACAGTCACTCAAAAATCAGAGAGCCCAGCTTGATTTCAAATGTTTTATACTTAACATAAGTCGTTGTATCCTTTTTTGAGGCAAAGCACTATGGGACCTGGCAGGTCAGAAACCTCCATCTTCAAAAGTTTATCCTCCTGTTACTGAACAATGAAAAATAATTCTTACTCACTTTAGGAGAATATAGTGTGCAGTCTTCAGACATATTGATGACAGAGTGACTTAAATATCATGGGACTATCAACCCTGTTTAAGAATTATGATTAGCAACATTGGATTGAAGAAATAGCCCACACTGCTAAAATGTCCAAGAACCTGAAACTAGAATGGTCACAGACTTTTGAAAAACGTATTCCTTTAGTTCTGCTATAGATAAACTGATACCTAATGACATATGGATGCACCCATAGCTCTGTTCATGTATCAAAATCCCATATTCAGAAATGTTTCTTCATGCACTAGATGGGAAATAAAACAAAGTGTCTGAAGTGGACTCTTTTAGAGGGCAGGCTTTGAGGAACTACTTTGTGATGTTACTTGTCTTCATGAAGCCCCATACTAAAGCCTCAGTGATCAAAATTGAAAAGGAGACAGATCTGAGAAACTCAGAGGTCATGGATGAATCCATAGTAACAATATTTCCCAGCCACAAGTTTACTATCAGACATAGGAATTCAGAATCTAAAATACCAGGTACAAGATCTGAAGGGAAACTAAACAAACAAAAACAAAAGAACGAAGAACAAATTAATCTGGTGTGTTAATCGGTTTCAAGGGAAGTATGAAATACAACTCTATGCCTATCAATAAGTAATTGATTTACAACCAAGCTCAATCCTGGCCTGATGTCATAATTCTGAACTGGATGAAAAGAAATAAAGAAGAGTTTGTATATGCCAAAATACAGAGGAAGTATAAACATTGATTGGAAAATTGAAACTGTGACCATAAGTGACAACAAGACGATAAAAAGAAAATTTTCTATACTACATTTTAAGGTAAGCACAGCACGTCGGTAACAGGTGGGGTAACATCTGCATATGTTACTGCTCCATATTTTCACAGACTCCAAGGCTGCTAGGAAAAATGGCAATGGTGTAGCAATTCTCACAGTGAATCTTCCAGGGAACAGAAAGTAGCCTGACTGCTTTAGTGCATCTCTAGCACTGAAGCCTAAACTGGATAATCTTCCTTGCAGATG